GTCTCGGAGTGCAAACCCCCCATTCTACAAAATCTGCATAATGGGTCAACCCAGCCTGCTTTTCTGAATTAAACTACTGTGTATCTGAAACTGTTTCATGTGCCACTGGACAATACTCTCAGTCAGTAGTTCACATGCTGGCATGTGAGCTGATCTAGAACCAGTTTAGTTGTTTGCTTTTTCATACGAAAAAAAGAAAGCAACAGAACAGGCCAATTTTAATGCAAGCTTATTTTAGTCCGCTTGAATCTTGTCTGGATTGACACAGTAGGCTGGAATCACTTGATTCTCTGGTCACAAATGTTTTAGCTATGCTTGTTGTGCTGTTTCAGCGACAGATACTCTATATAGACAATAGTAAGTGGCTCAGTTTACTTGAGTTTGCTCTTTATAGCACTTTGAAGCCTCTATCAAGTAACAAAATAAAAAGATTAAATGTTTAGCATGAAAATACACTCTTAAAATTAAAGGCTTTTTTGGCATCTAAAATTTTCTTCACTCTAAGAACAAAAAAAATTTATTTTAAGAACTGCTCACTGAATGGTTCTTTGGGGAACCCAAAGTGGTTCTTCTATGGCATTACTGTGAAAACCCTTTTTATTTTTAAGAGTGTAACTTGTATTGTCATCACTCTCAATTCAAACTCACTACTTCTGCTAATGCACCCTTCTGCATCACTACTGATGATGTCATACTCTCCTGTCCTTACCTCTTTGCTTGTTTACATTTGCTTCCTCTATTACAGTGTCATAAATGACTAATATGTTGAACCAGCAAGCATGTTTTTGCTCTCTTATGCCAGACACTGAGTTGTTATCGGTTCTCTGTTTCTGTGTAGACCAATATTGTTAACAAGTTGTATTTAGGTACAGTATGCGTTATCACAATAATTGTTACATGAAATTTGTATATTTTGACAAAAATGATATGATAAAAATGATGATTTGAGCCAGGTGGAGTTCAGAGCTCCTGGAGAAAGATTCTGTGGCGCAGCTGAGGGCCAGTGGCGCAGGACTAATCCTGCTAGTCTTAGTAACCGACCAGCTGCTGCCTGTCTCCTGCCATAAAAGCCTTATTCAGACTCTCATTATTCTTTTTGACTTTTGTACTAATCACTGTCTTTCATATTCATCACACATACTGTGTGTATACTTTATGACCTCATTCTTTCACATCTGTGGTTTTGAAGAGCTAATCTGGGTGCGGCTGTGACTCATTTGATGGGAGCTGGGACGTGATAATATTCTAGGAATAAGTCAGATTTTCCCAAACTCCTCAGAAAAGCTGTTTCTGTGTCTGAGTAAAATTTGTCTACTGATGCCAGCACATTGTAAATGTGCTATCCTAATTGAAAGCTCTTGGTAAGGTCAGAAATTAACCAGAGCTCAGGGCAAAAATGTAACTGATATTTCAATTAATTCCTGAAATGAATTCCTCAAGTTGTTTTACCTGTTGTCTAATATATTTTTCTATTCTAGGCCATAAAGTCAAGGATTTAGCTCCTCTGCGAACAACACAATGACCTGTAGGCTATATTTACTGTCTCTGAAGTCAGTGTTGTTGAATGTGTAGCTAATATGAAAGAAAGAAAAATCATCTTCTAAAGCACTAAATGTGACAGTGCACAATCAACTCCTTAAAACAGTGAAATGTATTACCAAAAACAAAAACGAAAAAAAGAGAAAGAAAATCAACTGCGACAGTATTGATTTGATTTTGTAGGGAACAGTGAGAATTGGTTAAAAAAAAAAACGGAAAAAGCCTTGTAAATATGCCCCTAAAAATCTATTCCATGAGGCATTTTTTTGTAAATAAGTAAATAAATAAATAGTGAGAGTATTGTCTAATATTTATGTGTGTGTGTGTGTGTGTGTGTATATTCATAAAAAGGAGGGAAGGGGGGGGTAATATCATGGTGTGTAACCTTGTATGTGTTCCTATGTCTTACTTTGATATAATATTCAGCATGTATTTCCACATACATGTATTTCTCTTCAGGCCTCAACCCAAGAATCCGTTTTTCTCCTCAATCTACTCCTGTTCCCCAAGATGGCTGTATATGCATGTTTTGTATGACAGAGAGAGAGGGCCTTGCAACCTGCAGTCACTGCATCCATCTCTCTGATGCCCTGGCTGAGACGAATAGATGTGGGATGCATACTAACAGACGCCTGCCTGACAAACCAGAGTCCGGGTTAAGACTGCTTGATGTGTGAGGAGCTCTCAAAGCCTGGCAGTCATTTTGAAGATGGTGGCAGATGTGGGCGGTTATGCATGTATTCTGAAAGCCTGTCTGTGTGTAGCCTGTTAAGACCGGCGGAGTTACATAACAAGGTTTTCATCAGCGCGGCAGTAAACAGCTGAGTGGAAGGAGGAAAGTGTGTGTGTGTGTTTGGGGGGGGGATGGGGGGGGGGGGTAGTTGAGTTTGCAGTGCGATAGATGGAGCTTGTCTTGCCGAGGGTGGGGGTGGTCAAACAATCTGGGACAGACAGCCCATGTGATCGTCGCCATGGTGACAGGACGAGCTCAAAGGCGAGTGTAGTTGCTCACAGCATGTAGTTGCATATGAGTGCGTTTGTTTATGTGCACTAACATTCATTATTTTCTGATGTTGATAAAGAGACTAGCTCCATGTGTGTGTGTGTTAAGTAGCTTCACAGGATTATAGGCCTATTCAAAAACCCCTTTCTGTGTAGCTGGACTTTAATCACTGCCATGCATTTTTGCACTGAAATGTGGAACTGAAGAGGATGTACATTGCAAAATCCTGTTTTAAATGTACTGTGAAAAACAGTGTGAAATGGAGTTGGATGACTCAGGGGTTTTCACAGATCTGCAATGTGGTTTGGGCCGCAGTGTTGGGTCAGTACTCTCATAAGACCCAGCATGTTTCATAAATCAGTTGATGAAGTGATGTGAAAGGCAGCAGAGGAAAACATAGGAGCTCCATGTACAAACTGGGTACTCATACCTTTCTTTCGTACATTTCTTTTTAAGAAACGAAAACTTTTATCCATCAAGGATGCATTAAATGGCATTTATAATGTTACAAATAGATTACTCCTTCAAATAAGTGCTGTTCTTTTAAACGTTCTTTTCATCAAAGAATAAAAAGAAAAAAAGTATTAATATAAATAATTATTACAAAAATATTAAGCAGCACAGCTTTTCAATATTTGTTCCTTTGTATGTCTTCACATATAGTGGAATGACAATACATTTAACTTAACTTGAATATTAATATTATTGATAATAATAATAAATGTTTTTTTGCAAATCAGCATATTAGAATGATTTCTGAAGGATCATGTGACACTGAAGACTGGAGTAATGATGCTGAAAATTCAGCTTTGCATCACAAAGTACATTTTGAAATATATTTAAAATAGAAAAAAGTTATTTTAAACAATACATTTGACACTTTTACAGTTATATTCACAATATTAGTTTGTACTGTTTTTGGTGAGCACAAGTGACTTCTTTCGGAAAAAAAAATCAGACCACAATCTTTTGAACGGTAGTGTTTTTAATATGAATACATGTGAACTTTTTAATGGCAGTCAGTGCCGTTAATTCGGTTAGCATAGCTAATAAGGTGATGTTAAACATTGGCCCATTGAGTGAAACTCAGATATTAAAACAAGTAGTGTTTAGATTATTAAAATAAGGCATATTTATTTCATCGTCTCACGCCAACCACGAAGATCACTACCATCCCTCGAGGTTTTCATTCTTGTTGTGGATCAGTCATTGTTATCATTGCTCTATCTGCCCCTCCTTCACTTCAGAGGCAAGCCAAGCCACACTGTCAATGAGATCTATCAGGGCAATCCCATGTGGCATGTACACAGTGAGTTTTGTTGGATTTCAGCCCCCTCTGCTGTTGACGATGGCTTTCAACACAACATACATAGTCACAAGTGACTCCTAACAACTTTCCCCAAATAGAAAACACTGATTTCATGTTAAGAAGGATCATGTGCAACATTAAATAAATTGAAATGTCAAAATTTTTATTTTACATTGTCACATAACCCTTCTTGCCACACTCTTAGTGTTTACTACTGGGGCACACCATGGCATGAAAACATTGTAGAAAAAGTCAGTACATTTCTCCGGGAAAAAAGAAGAAAGAAAATGCAGTATTTGCCTCTCTGTTTATCATCGCCTAGTCTCCACTAATACTATCTGTCCTTGTTTTGAGTGTTGTAGGTCAGTAGATTGATTGAAGAGTGACTGGACTCCAGACAGTTATAGAGCAAATTGAATTTGCTTTTTCTGATATGGGAGAACAAAACAACCTGTTCTCTTCACTGCTTAAATGTGATTTAATACTCGGTTAAGCAGAAATTTGTCAAAACTATTGCTTTCTTCTCAATTCTCCTTCTACACCAGTAATCTCACGTTGTCGGTCTCTGAAGAGATCTCAAACTCTACTCTATGTGTTTCTGATAGTTGAAATGTCAGCAATATCTAGCAGTGGTCCTCAATCAGGGTGCCGAGGCTCATTAGGGGACCTCAGAAAATTTCCACGAGGGCCTCAAGATGACTTAAAATGATTACAAATTTTAAAAAGCATTTAAAATAAGCTAGAACAATTAAAAATCAAGTCATAGCCTAACTAACGCTATCTGTCCTAGTTTTGATAGATTGATCGAAGAGTGACTGGACTCCAGACAGTTATAAAGCAAATTTAATTTACTTTGTTTTCTGATATGGGAGAACAAAGCAACCTGGGCTGCTTTTCTCAAAAACATCGTGAGATAAGTAGATCGTAGAGGCCATTGGTGGCATTGGATCTATGATCTACGTAGGCTTACGATGCTTTTGGGAAACACAGCCCTGTTCTCTTCAAGGGGAGCTGTGAGGTGACAATTAGGCTTTTATTCACCTTATTTATGGCTGCTTGTAACTATATGTATTAAAACTGTGACAACATCTATCTAAGGAAAATATTTATTCTGTGTATCAAAGGGATAATAATAATTATAATTTATTTTTATATTAATAATAATGTGCATTAATTTCAAATGGCAAAAATTTAGCCATTCTACACAAAAATCACAAAAACATTCAAATGTTCTTCATGAACATTTATGTCCATTAGCAGCTGTTAACTGCCATGTTGTGGTGAATGTAGTCCTCTCCATCTGCTCCTTCTGCCGATAATTCATCATAAAGAGCCCGGTGGCTGCAGGTCCGAGTGGTCATCAGGGATCCCTCTCACTCCTTCTTCCCAAACCCCACACAGGCAGCTCACTCGAGGGAGGTGTGGGGCGAAAACCACTTCTAATTTTCGAGGAGCACTGCTTCGGCTGTCTGATTGTACTTGCCCCACCAGTCTCTTGAGCATGAGTCTCACCATTACCTGGTTAGCCCAAGCGATGCCCAATGCAGGAAGCACCTTACTGCCCACCAGCCTGTGTATGATAAGTTATAAACGACTTACTATAGAGCTTCAGAAGCTCTAAATATGATTGGTCCAGTTTTGTAACTACACCAAACCTTCTGAAATGAGCTGAGCATAAAATGTAATCGGATCTTTCTAAATCACCAAGTATAGAAAAGCACAATATGCTTAAGGCACTGTGAATATTTACTGGGATGTGTTCAATAAAAGACATGAAAGATGAGAGTTGATTATGTGTTGTTAGCTTAAGCACATCGTGTTTTGGGGAATTTGATGAAGATCAGATGACATTTTATTAATGCAGAAAACCAGCCAATTCTAATGGGTTTACATACTTTTTCTTGCCACTGTATATGGGCCGTTTTGCTGCTGGCTAAACTGACACAAACACACTCACCCATAGTCGCACCGTCCTGGATTTGGTCCGTCCACAACATCTGTAACCTGGAGCAGAGAAATAGCATAAGAACAATTTCTATGTTTTTAAATTCACAAGATAAGATCAATGGCGTTCGCAGAACATATTGTATAGCATTTCTGATTAGGTGTTAGAAATGAGATGCCAGTCTAACCTGGTTGACGCAGACTCCAGGTGCACCATATTCATGACTCAGGCGGTGAAGTGTGTTGGAAAAGGCCAGCAGGTGGCGTGACCTCTGTACAGCCTCATCAGCCTGGAACTCACTGCGAAACAGAGCCGCCACAGAGTCCAGCACCAGCAGTCTGACCAGCCCTCGCTTCAGCAACACGGGCACACGCTGAGACACGCACGCCTGCAGAGCCTCCTGCTCACATATCAACCAGCATTAAGTGCTTTCTGATGGTTATTAACTGGTTATTATTATAAATGTTTGCCAGTCTCACCAGGTCAACTGCATGCTCGATGTAGATGTTGTCGCTAAAACGCTGACTGTGGATCACAGCTGGTGGCAGATCTGCTCTGAGCCGGGGCTGCAGGGCAATGAGTTGCCTTAGTCGTTTGATAGGGAAAGAATCCTCAGTGCAAATATAAACAGCTCCTGTTAAATTACCATATAAAATGTGATTTAATACATCAGTTAAGCAGAAATTTGTCAAAATGATTTCTTTCTTATCAACTCTCCTTCAACCCCAGTAATCTCACGTTCAGGGGCGCCGTAACGGGGGGTGTTTGGGAGGAAGGCTAGGAAGATTCCAAGGGCCAGGGGTCCGGAACGTGACATTTACTTCCCGGTCAGCAACTCTGCCAAAATCAAAGTCTTAAATTCAATCGAGTACCTATTGTATTATTTTTAGCCTAGTGTTGTTTATATTTCAAAGACAGATAAGCGACTGCAAATATAACGAACAATACTTTATTTTATCAAGCCAATAAGAGAAAGAGTGCGATAGCATATCGGCTAAACAACACACTCCCTTCATACTATCGCGCTTTCAGACCGCGGTCTGCCACCGGACCAGTGCATTATCAAAATGGGGGTGTCTGGAATGAAAGTGTTTAACTAAGTCGAATAACTGGGATTATAAAAGAAACATTTATCATTAATATTTCCTAAAAGATGTATTCTGCCATAAAGGACACATATTAGTTAAATAAACTAAGCAAAAATAACTAAAAGAAGAACTGTGGCGTAGCGGCATACTTTATTTTATCAAGCCAATAAGAGAAAGAGTGCGATAGCATATCGGCTAAACAACACACTCCCTTCATACTATCGCGCTTTAAGACCGCGGTCTACCACCGGACCAGTGCATTATCAAAATGGGGGTGTCTGGAATGAAAGTGTTTAACTAAATCGAATAACTGGGATTATAAAAGATACATTTATCATTAATATTTCCTAAAATTTGTATTCTGCCATAAAGGACACATATTAGTTAAATAAACTAAGCAAAAATAACTAAAAGAAGAACTGTGGCGTAGCGGCCACCCCTCTATATTCAGTTTTCAGAGCAGCCCGCAATGTTGTATCGCGGTTGGGTAGAAAATCGTAACAGTATTAATGGTGTTATGTATCAAATGAAATATATGACCATAAAAAAATGAATTTAGTCCTTTTAAACATGTTGCTCAGTGAATGCAGTTTGTGAAACCTGAGAATAAATAGGACTGGTGGACACTGGATATTGCTTGATAGTGTTTGATCTAAAGTCTCTAACGTTACTTCCTTTGACCGGTGAGTGGCTTGCTATTGAAGGAAGGCTAGCGTTAATGTCTTCAATTTATGCGCGGCATTATGATATGAAATAAACGATAAAATGGCCTGTTTGTATTATGTTTACATTTGTATCACAGGTCTTATGCAAGCTAGCTTTTCATGTGGTAGCATGTGGTGCACATATCAAAACATTAGCTTAGCAAGGTTTATAGACACTAGAAATATACAATAGATATAATTTTAATATAAAGATAACCCTAATATGTAAAATAAAAATGATACGTGAACGACAGTGAAAGTGGCTCAAGTAGGTGTGGTGTTGTTAGTGAGCACTGCGTTCTGTAGCGAAGCGGACTGTTGGGGGAGGTTTGAGATCTGGAGACTCGGGTTCAAATCCCGGTCTGGACGTGCAGTGTAGTTTACTTTATCATTCACGAGTTTATTGCAAGTTTCTGTATCATTTTATTAAGTATCCTATTGTAATATCTGAATAATAAATAAAAATGATACGTGAACGACAGTGAAAGTGGCTCAAGTAGGTGTGGTGTTGTTAGTGAGCACTGCGTTCTGTAGCGAAGCGGACTGTTGGGGGAGGCTTGAGATCTGGAGACTCGGGTTCAAATCCCGGTCTGGACGTGCAGTGTAGTTTACTTTATCATTCACGAGTTTATTGCAAGTTTCTGTATCATTTTATTAAGTATCCTATTGTAATATCTGAATAATAATAAACTGACGTTACCAAATAGATCATGTGTGTCTAGTCAAATGTTTCTTGTTCAGTAATGCTGCTCATGTTATCTTCCTCAGGGCTGGATCTTGCTGCCAGCATGAGTCGTCAGTGTAAGAGCTGTGGTGGAGCAGACATCGACACAGGTCATCTTCATGCATGAAATTGTTGTGCTCGCCTACTACATTTAAAAGGCTTACTTTTTCCAATCCGTGCTCTTTAAATGGCTGAGCACTGCTTTCAGTGGCAAGCATGTAACTTTCCAAATGTTTTTGGCCCCGTTCACCTTCGCTTGCTTCAAGTTTTTTAGAAATAATATTTTCAGTGTAGAGAGAAGAATCTTTTGTAGACGGATTTTTAATCAACTCGTGTTGAAAATCACCGTCAGGAATGTAATGGTCCATGTATTCTTTCAGGAAAAGCTGGTCACTCACTTCATTGCTATTTGGATTGTGGTTTGTTGGATTACTGATGGCAATGAGAGAATATAAAATGGAAGGCAAGGTTTCATTTATGACGCGCGATGCATTTTTTGATCCTCTGTAGAAAGCCGAAGCAGAACTGTCGTCACCAATCATCACAAAATTGTCTTGATCTTGACCACTCCTTTTCATAGGAGTCTTCTGTGGGAGGTCAACCAGGAAAGATCTGTAGTCTTTAAACAAGCCATCAAAAGAGTTCTGCTGCCCTGCAGGTGTCAGAGATGGACCAGAACTGTGTTTGATAATCGATTGAGGGTTAAACTGCACACCAGATTGCTTGAAGTGTTGGGCATGTCTGTGTGGATAGGGAATATTGCTGGCGTCGTAACCGTGTTCTGATGTCTTCCTGCCTTGATTTGATGAGGGATCTGCACGGTGTGGAAGTCCTCTTTGCAGAAACTGTGTCTCCTCCTCATCTGTAGAACAGCATCCTCTGCCAGGCTCATAAGGAAGGTCGTTTGGCCACGGTTTAGGGTCAAAAACAGAGGCTGCGTGAGAGTTGATAAGGTTTCCTTGTAGTCCTTGTAGGTTATGCAGAGATACAAAGAGAAAAAATAAATTAAAGCAATTCTTTTGATGAATTTTCCTGTAATAGAAAGTGTTAGTACAAACCTTTTACACCTGTAGTGTCTGTAATTTTGACTGTACCAAATCCAGGTCCTTCAAACAACCTGGATGTAAAAACCTTTTTAACAGAGTCAAGTGTATAGAAGCATCTCACAGTGAGCCTGAAATATTCAGAAGGGAAAAAAAGGAGCTGATCAGAATTTTTTTTGTTTTCAAAGATCAATCGTATTTCGCCTAATTCAATTTTCACATATTTACTAGTTTCATATATTGACAAATACCTAAATTTTGATTCCCTTGTAATGGCTGATTCCTGGTCAATTATGACACCTCCATCAGAAATGACCTCGTTTTCATACACAATGTAGCCGTCACCCAACTACACAAGGATGCAGATTACATATCCATTACTGAATAGATATACACTACTGCTTAAAAGTTTTTGGCCTGTAAGTTTTTTTTTTTTTTTTATTAATACTTTTATTCAGCAAGGACACATTAAACTGATCAAAAGTGACAGTAAAGACATTTATTGCAAAATATTTCTATTTCAAATAAATGCTGTCCTATTGAACTTTCTATTCATAGTATTCTGGAAAAAAAAAAAAAAAAAAAAAAAAAAAAGACAAATCCGCATGTCAGAATGATTTCTGAAGGATTATGTGGCACTCCTGACCGGACGAATACCTGCTGTAAATTACGCTTTGGCATCATAGGAATAAACTGAATAAATAAAATATATTCAAATATATGTACAGTGTTTAATACATTTATTGACTGTAATTGGGCATCCGAATAAAAAAAAATAATAATTATAATAAAGTGTTTTACTATTCTTCTGCCTTTCTTGTAAAACAGTAAATTAGAAAATTCATGGATAACAACAATACTCATATTTTAGCATTACAAATACAACTATGACAAAAGAGCTTATACATACTGGTGGATTAACCTTCACAGAATCAAAAAAAGATTTTGTAATCAGTCACTAATACTGCTAGTTTAGGGCAGTTGCTGCACAAACCTTACATTGGGTGGTGGTGGTCTAATAAATTTGGTAAGAACTGCAAATATAAAAAGGTTATTTTTAAATTATAACATTTTACTGTATTCTTGATCAAATAAATTCAGCCCCCTTGATGATTATAAGAGACTTCTTTTAAAAACATGTTTAAAAAAATCTTACCGAGCCCAGATTTTTGTGTGTCGGTTGTATATGACTAAGGTCAATTTATGCATTTACCATTAATCTAGTTCCACATGCATCCACACCAAAAGAAAACATGACCCTGGTCTCATCAGTTGCCTTGGGTCTGCATCTTCTGTCTAGAAGGGTTGTGCTGCTAGGTGGCACTGTTGGCCAGGTTTTTGTAGTAGTTGCCACCACGGTCATCATTCCATCTGTGGAACACACTAGAACAATAGAAATGATTGTTTATTAGTGGAGAGGTAACATTTTAAAGCTTATAAACCCTGTTAGCATTTTATGGTGTCTTGCCTGTTAGTTCTTCAGTCTGAAAGTAACAGTTCTTTGTTGTTCTCTTGTGAATCTCCAGAGTCTTCGAGTCTCTTATAAGAATTTCAAAAGTGCCAACAAAGTTTCTCAATGTGATGTCCTGGAAAAACAGAAACCTAAAATATTAGGTTTAAAAGTATATTCTAGGTTTAAGATAATTATTAACTTACATTAATTATTCTTTAAAATTACTTTTAGTATTTATTTTAATATAAATAAATTTTTGGATGCACAAAAGTAAATAACCCTATAAACACTTCCATTTGTTTTCTTTTTGCCAAAATTATTTTCAGATGCTGTTATAGCTCAAATGTATTATACTAATGTTAAGAACAAAAGGAGATCTGAATCAAGACTGCCATGACATTATGAAAGTCAACATGTTACTTGAACGACAAATGTTTTTCTTTGCCTCATAAATGTAGCCCGATGTGAAGAGTGGGACCTCCAGAGTCATACTCTGACTGTCGTTTTTCAGTATGTATCCCTTCAGTCTGGATAAGTCAGATGTGAGCGCTTGATGCCCCACACAGACCTCCCAAAGTCCAGCTTGCTTCGGATGATTTATTCTGAATATTATGCTCTGTGCTGTACAGAAAGCAGTGACATCTGGAGGGACTGAATGAGAGGGAAACAAATACAACTTAGATTGTTGGTCACTTGCATGTTATGTAATTTAAGGTCATTAACTCCTAAGACTTACAAGCATCATTAACATGTGCCACAACAGAGACATGGTGGAAAAATGTGTCATTTCGCTCGATGATATTTAGGGTGTAGTTAATTTCTACAGAGTACTGGAGAAGTCCTTCACCCAAATACTGTCAATTAGAAATTAGATTTTATTTTTAATAATATAAGATAAATATAGTACTGTGGGAATGATAGATAAAAGAAAAACCCTCACCATTCTGTTAACAGATTTATCTTCAAAAGGAACCTTAATAATGAAGCCATGGGTCCCAT